CCGTCAACCATGTTGCTGTGCTTGTTTACCTTGGTGCCAGTACCGCTTCAAATAATCAGCCACAACTACAGCAACCAAACAGTCCTGGTCGAATTTATGTTCCGCAAAATTGGTTGTGCATCCGATGGCTTCTCTGGAACACCGTCCTGGCAAATTTGCGGGGCTCTGATTTACGCGTGGTTCCAGTACTCTTCCAAATATATGTAACCGTCATGACAGATGTTTCTTCCCTTTGCAGTTGCCCCCTCTTGGCATCGTGCCAGCAGCCACGTTTTGTTGGTGCTGCTTGTGTCGTTGTCATCGGTTCGATGCCGTATTGCTACTCTTGCCATGGCTCATTATGCCCTGTTCTGAAGACTTATCTAAATGCCCACCTGCCAAGATTGAGATTTCACTCATGCATCACCAGGACGGACCATGCTCCTGAGATTTTGCGATATCTTCAAGCGCCAGAAGTTTCAAAAAAAAGATACCTTAAGACACCTAACAAACATCAGGAACGTCAAATTAGAACCTCTCAGGCCCAAAACTTTCTGATGTGAGCAATGGTTGTGACTATCTCCAGAAACTCAAGGCCCTGAATCCTGAGAACCCCAGTTAAATGAAACTACAGGTGGGGAGTTTAGGGTATATGGGGCTTCTATAAGTGAGAAAGACCTTCTATAAGGCTCCTGTAACGGTAACTACCCATCTGAAAATGTCCTAGACGCAGGCTTCCTGTCACAACTATATGAATTCTGAACCACACACTGTTCCAACTTGCGCACACGCCCAGCTCCCAAACCGCAGGCCTCTCTATGCGCATGTTTGTCTCAGGGCCACTAAGCCCATGCAGAGAACATTTACATATGTTTGGGGGTTCATGGGTAGCAAAAACTGGGGTAAGAATTAGGCTAAATACACTGAAGAAAACCCAGCTAGGGGACTTGCAAACCCACTCAGAACTACCCACGATCCTCCAATTCAGGTATAATTCTGTGCCGTTCACTCAACCGCGTACATCAAGCGCAGCCATCTGGCCTCAGATCCTTATATCCTGAAGCACGAACTCTCAGTCCTGAAAAGGCCTGAACCCAAAACCTCAACCCAACAAAACCTCAAGTCCAATTCTCGACCCAACTCTTGCCCTCTAGACCTCAAGCTCTCTAGTTCTGCATATAATGAACCCCTTATAATTAACCTGTTGCACCTCAGTCCCAGGCTGCTAAACCTGAGCTTTGAAGCAGAAACCCTCGCATCTCTCCTCTACACCAAGAGCTCCACGGACTCCTCCCGCTCCAAAGCGGGCCAGTGACGCTCCACCTCCTGCAGCATGAAGGAAAACAGATCTTTAGGGCTTATAGGGTTTAGGGTTTAGGGTTTGGGGGTCGCAGGACTGTGAGGTAAATGGTTTGGGGTTGACCGCTTCGACTTTACGCCTACAGAGTCCACGAAACAAGCTTCGGAGCTTCGTATTGCGTGCAGCATGCGAACCTGCACACCTGGACACAGTATGCCCAGTAGGCTGCTCGAAGAAACCTGACTTGAAAGCGGTTCCGCACTTCTTCGTCCAGCCTGGCCTTGAACAGGCGCAGTGCCAGCGCATCGAGGCCATCTGAGCAGCGATGCTTAGTCAATCGCCTTTTCTTTTGTTTCCCCGCCGACTCTACTTTGAGCCCAGGAACGACATGTCTCGTATTCCCAGCAAGGAAACTAACAGATACATCAGTCCCCTCAACGGCTACAATGCCCGTGCGATCTTTGCGGGGAACTACCCGCCCTTCCTACCAGAATAAACGGGCATCGCTTCGTAAAGGTGCGTGAGGATCTACACCAGGACCCGGAAACAGCAGGCCCAAGGCTACATGCAGGACTTGGACAAAAAGCCTACAGAATCTACAAACTTACTTGCAGACTCTCGTGGAGGGTGTGAGAGAAGTTCCTGCACGACTCTGCCCCAATCATCAGCCTCTCCTCTTGTATGTGCATGCAAAACCTGTTAATAAACGCCGGAATTCAAGACAAGAGGAGCGAACCGGCGAACCGCAGAAAGTCTGGCCTGGACGTAAGACCTGCACGCCAGCCTGAGCAGAAATGGACCCTAAACCCTAAACCCTAAACGGGCTTTCTTGGCTGCTGAAGACTTCTGCGCAACCGGGGGAAAAGCTTCCCAGAAAGCGGGTCCTACAGAGGCGGCACAGCCCACTTGCAGAGCTGAAACCTTCCAAGCCTCCATGCCACACCATCCCCAAGACTCCTCTTTAACCGACATGGTAGGCTCTGAGGTTCTATGGCCCTTCTTTCCTCAACCTTGATCAAACCCGCCATTCAGGCAACTGGAGTTTTACTTACCGGGGAATCAGGGAAGCGTATCCCTAGATAATCCCTACAGAAGGCATATTTCCTTCTTCCCTACTAACCACCCGCAAGCTTCGGGATCTTTCAGTTTCAGTTTGCCACGCAAGTCGCCAGGAGGAACGGAGCAGCCAGCGCTCCGCGTGCCAGGGCCACCCACCCCCGGGCGAAGCCGATGGAAGCCGCAGCCAGACCTAAGCTCGTCTTTAGGGTTTAGGGTTTAGGGTTTATTGGGTTTAGGGTTTAGGGTCTTTGAACCCAAAGCTACCCCTGTTTTCGGGTTTAGGGCTTAGGGTTTAGGGTTCAGGAAGCCCTGCAGAAAAAGATGGCTTCATAGGCCCTATCCAGGGATTGGGGATAGTAAGAAGTAGAAATATATGTTATGTTTCAAAACAAGCCCTGAGAGCTCTCCAAAACGTTGCTCTACAGTCTGCTCTTGGACATGCCAGGGAGCAAATGAAGCAGAAACACTGCAGGTCGTTCACCTGACAGTGCGAGAGCTTGAAGCGTATCTGCGGCCTAGCAATGCCAGAGCAGCTACTGTACGGCCAATAGCGATCAATAACCCCGGAGCACAAGCCAACCTCAAATCTACACATGGCAGCTTCAACATTGATCCAGACTCGGGTTCGGGGGCTCGATACAAAATCATATAGGCACTATGGTTAATGATGCCTAATTCCTAAAATTTTGCCTTCAAACCCCCTGGGATCCTGGCCTGGCGCTGTCTGTAGGGCTGCAGAGTGCCAACGGCAATGGCCGTCGCGAGCGTGAAGCACAAAGTCAGCTTGAGGCCGCTTTCTGTGGAGGCCACCTCAGCTACCGCGGACTCATGCACCGGCAAAATGCTGACGCGGATGTGCGCGGCTGTTGCAACATCCCCAATCGATACGAGAACCCTCTTCTAAAGCTTGTTCATAGGGGCACGGGCTCCTCGCAGGACAGGGCAAGACTCGACTAGAGGCTGGGCTTGGGATTTCCCATGGAAATCCCAGGCCACAACGGCCCGGACGAATGCCGGCTGCCCCACAGCATGGAGCACCCAAAAACACTCCGGATGAGAGCATCCCAGGCACGGCCACCAGGATGACAGCCACAAACTTCATGGCAACTTCGAACCAAACGTCGCGTAGCATCGCCTCGGAGGGCAGATTGCCCTGGAGCTTTGGGAGGCCGTGAACAGGGTACCTTCCCCAAAAAAGTGTGCCCTGAATCTCACCTGCAAAGAGACTTCTATGACACCGAGTTATATAGTACCCTCCTTCTAACAAACCCCCGTCCTCCCCCTAATATTGAATATTACCCATGTGGTATATTATAGTATACTGGGAATATTGAATATTAGAGGGAAGGAATTACTACAGCCGAGGTTGATCAGAGGGGCTCAAGCTCCATGATCTTTAGGGTTTGGGGTCCAGTGGTCTCACTCAAAACTCGCAGTGTCTCGAGCAGCCATGCGGCATACTTGAACAGCAGCTCCTTAGCCCCGGCCAGAACTCCTCGGATGGTTATATTAATGGAAAGAAATTGGGAACTACTGCGCAATATGATAGTTTCCGTCTTGGCTTCCGATGACCATCATCATCATCATCCTTACCGTGTTAATTGTAACAGTAACAATTACTATTGTGGGGTCTTGCATTCCAAACAGAATTGAAGCAGCCACGGGTCAGGAGGCTTGAGCTCACAGAAGAACAGCCTAGTGCAAAATACAACAAATTCCATGACTGTTCAATCCATGATGGAAAAGGCCAAGTTCATAACTTGCCGCCATCAGCAGTCCCGGAATTGAAACTCCTTGTGCTGACAGGCATCTGTCCGAATGAGCTACTTCTTCCAGGACGCAGCGTTCCGTCAACATCCTGTCATGCAGCTTTGGCTGGTGCCGAAGAAGGCAGTATCAGACAGAGAGTGGGACCTTCACGCAAGCCCAGCATGTGCTGCCCTAGATGTTGGCCTTCGGTGCAGAACTCCATCCCATCGGGAAAGCGGAACGGAAGGATCACGTCTACAGGTTGGCTTTGTGGGAAGAACCTCCTTCTGCAGGCGTCACACAAGTTGCAAAGGGCTTGGCAGTTCAGCCTCAATGGGCAATGCCTTTACTTTAGCGGCCTTAATGAGTAGAGTAGTGTTTTGGGGCGCTCCTTGTTATAATTGTAGTACAATACACCCCCCAAAACCCTGTTCTAATGATTAAGGCCCCTACACTAGCTGATTGGGAAAAAAAGCAGGCCTTGTCATCGACTGGCAGCGCCGCATGTCTGCATCTCTCGTAGCTCCAAAGGCGGCGGCCAAGGTGGCCGAGGTCACCTGGCTCTCAGGGTCGAGGCAGACCGTCCCGGCCCCAAGGAAACAAATCCGCTCCTCTAAGAATCAACACCCCGCCACCCGATGAACTGTAAGTTTGCACGCTGTCGCATACTATCATATTATGTCGGAAGTATTTATGACCAGGGGAAGGGAGGGACGGTAGTAGAGAAGATCCCGCAAGCATGCACCTCCTAACACCTGTCACCTGCTTTGTTGCATGGAAGCAGCGTTGAAGACTGCGTCGTCCTGCTCTCTCTTTGACTCTACTGATTGGAGGATCCTCAGCTGAGGCAGATGGACAAGCCAGTACAAGGGGCTTCAACTGCTGGCTCGCCGCTTCTACTTGTCTCGCACTCTTCCCTTGGATGATCTACTTACAGTAACAGGGGGATATCTTGATATATAGCACTTAGACGTACTAACATCCAAGCTCATAGTCTTTCCACCGAGATGAATCCAGGACGGCCGGTGCCGAATAGCCCTGCCATCATGACTTCAGCTCAGGCGCACGTGGCCCTTCTGGAGCTGCAGGCGAACACGCCCGGAAAAGAGTAGACAATGCGCCGCAGCCGCAGCCATGAGATGCTTGGATGACTCCTGGTCCTGCCAGGCTTTCAAGCTCCTAAATATTTGGGTTTTGAAATTGGGGGGGGGGGGGTTCTAAGTTCAGGGNNGGGGGGGGGGGGGTTTAGAGAGTTTCTTTGTACATTTAGGCATTTCCCTGCTCTGGCCAGGATCGTTTCTTGAGTCACTCTTGAGCCTCAGGCTCTCTGAAAGAAGAAGCTGTTGAAGGAGCCAGGGCCTGCTTGGCCCCGCCGAGTCCTCGCTTCGGCGGCCATGAACCCCCCCAAGCACACAAGAAACGGGGTCCCGTCCTTTGCCGACACCGTTCGCCACAAGGGCTCCACCCTCACCTTCACCAAGTCACCTTCCTCCTCTGCGAGTCCGGCGAAGCGCCTGACAGATGCAGCAGCCGATTCCGTGAAATCTTAGATGCAGCTGACCAAGCTCCCCCTTACCCGGTCCTTACCCTGTTGCCTGCCATGATGTCTTAGGACAGTTACCCAGTTACCCTTGCACGCCGATCTTGGCTACCAGAACTTGTCTTTCTCAGAGGAGGCCCTGAAACTGAAACCCTTCAAAAACACGCTGCCTGCTGAGCTCCAAAGCTCGGTGCTGCTTGAGGATCAGGTAAAGCAGCAGCCCCGGAATGACAAGTCCATACATCACTGCGCACGTCATGCCCACGCCGTCTGCCTGAGCCAGACCAACAGGCGAGCAGACGCAACGTCGCTTCAAGAGCCCAACCCGAACGTTGGTCCTCATCCAGAGCCTCAATGCTGGAGTTCCCCTTCACACCGCGTCAACTTTAGCTTTCTTGCATCAGCACCACAAAAACAACAACATCATCATCATCATCAGTATCATATTAATAATAGTACTAATAATGATACTAATCGTAGTACTACTAATAATAATTAGTAGTAATTCTAGTAATGATAATAATACTAACAATAAAACAAGTATTGTAGTAATAAGTATAATAACAAGTATAACAATAATAGAAATAATAATCAAAATCATATAAGGATAATAGTAAGAAGTAAAATAACAAGTATAATGATAATAGTAACAAAAAATAATAGTAATAATGATAATAATAACAATAACAATAATAAGTATACTAATAAGTATAACAATAAGTACAATGGTAAGTATAATGATAAGAATACTAATGAATATAACAAGAAATACAACAATAAGTATAGTAATAAGGATCATAATGATAAGCATAGTAATAAGTAATAAGTACAGTAATAATCACGTTGTTATTGTTGTTATTGCTGCTGTTGTTGGCGTTGTTGCTATTGCTGCTGCTGCTGCTGCTGCTGCTGCTGCTGCTGCTGCTGCTGCTGCTGCTGCTGCTGTTGGTGGTGGTGCTGCTGCTGCTGCTGCTGCTGCTGCTGCTGCTGCTGGTGTTGTTGGTGGTGGTGGTGGTGGTGGTGGTGGTGGCGACGGTGGTGGCGGTGTTGTTGGTGTTGGTGTTGCTGGTATTGCTGCTGTTGTTGTTGTTGTTATCATGATCATTACTAGTACTGTATTTATCTAGTATTGTTATGTTTATCAATGTTGCTATTGTTTCTATCATTGTTGTCGTCGTCATTTTTGTGATCTACGGACTTGGAAAGCCCAAGGCGCCCAGGCTGCCTCTCCACCCCTTGCGTCGCACGTCACCAGTGGCAAGGCCACGCGGAAGGCATGCTCCAGCAAGGGCTCGCCACCTGTCGCGCTTCCCGAGTTCAGTCTCTTCGCCCATTTGGGGCTCGGAGCACGCATCTTTGTGAGGGGAAGGCCATGTGACGTGTTCCTGGGTATGAGAGCCTCCGTCGACTTGGCGGCAGCTGAGCAGGGCCGTGCAGCTGGAGGCTCCCCCGATGAAAAGCGCCGTCAGCAACTTCAGGGCCGAGCTGACGCCTAAGTTGGGACTGCTGCAGTTCGAGTGCTTGTGGAGCCGCCCCATCCGGGCTCCGTGCCGGCTCCATGCCGCACCGCCTCCAAAGGCATGCACAGTGCCAGCAGCAGCAGCGGGATGCAGGGCGAAGCCAAGGCGCTGAGGGACTGGGCGCTCCTGGAGAACGCATCTGTGGTTGAGTGCTTCTTTGTAACGAGTGGCTAACACCTTGTTGTGGGAGTGCCTGGCTTTCCTAGCTAGATCCCTCATGCAAGCTAGCGGAATCATTGCTTCGGCACAGGGCGTCCTGCCGTACGCACACTCTAGGCTCATGGCGTCGCGGAAGCCCTTGGCTGTCATCTGCAGCCACTGCACATATTCCTCACAGAGACCACTGCATGAGATCATGCATAGCAAGATAGTTGTTGATACTAGCAAACTACAAGGCAGGCATAGGTAGGCATCCTGACTCAATTCCGGCGGCCCAGTCCTCTTCCCAAACACCTCCACTACCTCCACTGCCTCCACCACCACCTCCTTGGTCCCGATGTGTGGACAGGGCCACCAGCCTCACTGAGCTGGAAGTCATGCGGTTTGGTCCAATTCAAGGGTTCAAACATCACGTTTGCGTCGTAGGACTGTCTTCAAAACACCTATCCTCGAGGAACGATCCCTGTGACGTGGCCAAGCAGCACGCCCCACAGCTGGAACAGCTGGAGCAGCACAGGGCCCTGGGCTAGAAGCAGCGGCTGCAAGACCTTGGCAAAGTTGTGGCGGAAAACCCCTATACACTATACTCTTCCTCAAGCATCAGCTGAGGGGAGTTGCTGCGTGCTGCTTTACCCAATGCTTGATTCGGCTGCAGGCGAGTCGCGCCCTGCGGCACGGGTGCTGCATCCGCCGGCCCTGAATCCGCCGCACGGCTCCTGCCGCACGACACCAGCCATGCTGACTGAGGCTCTGAGAAACAAAAAACTGGGTCACACTAATACTAGCGGCTCATGCAGCTCCTCCAAAAGTAGACGCCACCTGCCACCACCGCTACCACTGCCACGGTTGTGGCGACGCCGGCCGCTTTCCCACGAGTGTCGTCGGAAGCCAGATCACACTTGATGCACTGGCGGGAGCGGCTGCGGTAGCCCTCCGAGCAGGCGACGCACAAAGGCCCCTCGTAGCCTTGAGCACGGGCGCAGGAGGCGACTTGCAGAATCTACAGCTCAAGCAGCTGCCCTGACCATGAGTTCTAAGAAGCCCCTCCAGACTCTAGCTAGTCTGCCGGGCCACCGGTCGTGCAGCCCATGTCGGAGCTCCCTGAAGCACTGCAGCGCTCCGCAGCCGGATCCAAGCACCTGCAAATTAGCGAGGGGATGACCAGCCCTGTTTACTCCAAGCAGCAACTGGGAATGAAAGACGTCTGCACACGCATCGGTAAGGGATTTCAACGACATGTCTGCAGCAAAAACTCGGCTGGACCTTAATTCAAAGTCTGTCTGTACTCATCTCGCGAACTCAGCACTGTTGCAGGCGAGTACATCTTGGACCTACAGAAACAGTGACCAGTGAGGCCTGCGAACATTGATTCAGCACTCTGATCCCTGCGGAACCTGAAAACCACGGAAGCCTGACTGACCAGCCGCGCGTAGCCCACCTGAGGCAGCAGCAAACAGCTCTTTGATACCGGCACACGTTCGTCCTCAGGTGGTCTCGGTTGTTTCCTCTGTGCTCATGGTTCTTGTTCCGACACTAGGTCATCCGCCATCTGCATGCACCCTTGAATCCCTCGGGCTGCGGCCATGCAGGCGCGCAGATTGGTCTCACCCACGGAAGGCAAAATGCGTGTACACAGCTCCCCACTCATCACAATGCAGAATAATATGCGGGCCTTAATACTTAGAATGGGGATTTGGGATATACTATACTATAATTACGTATAATCAATAAGGAACCCCCCAAATAATACAGGTAATTATGAAGCCCCGTATATTATATCAGAAGTCTAGAAGTTGTCAGAATCCTGTGCTCGCCAACCCAACCTGAGGCTTCGCCGTATGCACGGTGCTTCCGACAGGGCAGTCCTGCGCCCATTTTGGGGTTTAGGGATGGTTTCGGGGTTTAGAGTCTGGGATTTTGGGCCTCACCTCCCTCACCAGACATGTTCCCTATAAAACCTAAGATACATGCAAGCAGAGCATGTGTCCTATAGGGGGACGATGGCGGGGAGGGCAGACAAAGGGGCAGTGCTCAGGTCGGGTTGAGCTTCGGGAGTTGATAAACCCTAAACCCTAAACCCTAAACCCTAAACCCTAAACCGTTTTCAGGATTTGGGAGTTTGGGGTTAGGATTTTGACCCATATCGGAGGCTTTTAGCTTGATTCCCGGGCCAACCGGATGGTACGAATTTCTACGCAGGATCCCGGACCCTGTAGAGGAAGAAGGCATGTTCATCTTCATAGTTGAATTGCAGAGATATTGCGATTCTTGCGCTTCTAGTCGTCCTTCCCCAAACCCTGAAAAAATCATGTACAACCGCACAACACTTCAACAAGCACGGCACCGCCGCCGTAGCCACACATCGCAACCGTGAGGAGCCAAGGATAAACAACCTCCCATTCCAGGGTCTTAGACCTTGATCTCTGCAAACCATGTGCTCCGAAAGGCCAACCTGCTCAGTCAAGGCCACGACCCTCGAAGCCACATGTGCAAACACATCGTGCGAGAGAGAGGTATGCGGTATCTTTAGGCTGTCCAGGTGGAGGGCGCTGCAGTCTTCGCAGGCGCTCCTCAGATTGGAAGCCCACACGAAGGGTTCGAATCTCGCAGTTCGTGCCAGCAGATGCTCTTGCAGAACCCTCATGACGAAATTGCGGCACGCCCTGAAAGCAATCACATGCTTTGCTTCTAGGAGCTGGGATAAGGCTTTTCCGGCGTCACATTGGCAGGCATCCTTAATCATCCTGCGCAGGCAGCTGGAAGCTTATGCTGGGGATCAGTTTCCGCACTTGGTGGTTGAAGGGGCCAAGCAAGAGCAGACGTCCGAAGCTTTGTGAGGGATGGGGTCAGAGCAGAATGAGCTTCTGCAGTAGTATTTATCATGGAACTGTCCAAGGCAGAAAGGTTTGGAGCCACATGAGCCATTGTGAACCTCATGAGTCCTTCCCCAGTCACACCGACAGCCATCGATGGAGGCAGTGCCTTTGCCCGCGGTGCTGTTTGCTGGGCAGGGACGGCAGGAGCTGTTGAAGGCAGCGTTGAAGGTGTTGGGGCCGCACTCGCTGCAGTGGGTGCTGCTGCCTTCGTACCCTGCCGTGCAGCCACATAGGCCTTCTGGCCAAAACAAGTGAGAGCTCACTCTCAGTGAGTTCGACGTCACGTCGTGGCAGCTGTAGCCGCCCGTGGCGTTTGTGCTGGTTGTCTGAGATGTCATCTGCAAGGCACGTGTCTCCAACAGATGAGCTATCTCCCGTGTGTTCGTGATGGCTGTGCCAGTTAGGTCTAGCTGAAGGTGCTTGTCGAGGGTACTCTGTAAAGTACCATTGGCGAATGTGATCGGTGGGTTCTCGGCTAATGAGACAAAAGTCTGGACCTTCAGGGCGTCCACACCGGTAATCTTGTTGCCCGAGAGGTCCAGCGCTTGCAGCGACTTGGCCAATAGTAGTCCGCAGTACTCGTTATAGACTCGGCCATCTACTCTTGCTGCCTTCAGGCAAGCTATGTCTGGGACATGTCCAGAGAGGTTGGCACTCTTGGCGAGCAGGCGGGTGAGTTGCCCTGAAGCCGCCAGCGGCATCAGGAGGTCTGCCACAGGACCGTTGAGAGGGCACTTTGAGACCTCAGTTTCTCCTAAACCCTCTTGAGCGCAACCTCCAGGGATGGACACACCAGAAGTCACTAGCATTCAGCCAAGGTGGCGTCCAGGGTCATCAGTGCTGGCAGGAGCCTCTGGGACGAATCCTCGATGAAGAAGTCCTGGAACTGGAACAACTGTCTGCTGGGAAGGAACTCGGCCTGGCTGCCCTGGGCACAAGGCATCTCGGAGCATCTCACAACAACTCACGACCCGGCAGCACATGCGGCAGCAACTTCCCGCATGGAAAGTCCAAGGGCCCGACCGCCAGGTTGAGGGTAGCAAGCTTCCTCAGCGATCCTCAGGAAAAGACGAAAGTAGTAGCTTAAGAAGCAACGGCTGCGGCCAAATTTGAAAGCCTGCAGCCAGGCGGCCGCGCCACGAAAAGTCCAGGCGCCCGTGAACTTGCGTGGAGCTGAGATCGACCTTTTGGCAAGACGGCCCGCTTCGACGGATTTGCCGGGGCGGTTGCATCAAGATAGACACCGAAATGTGTCTATCACGAGTCTCACGTGAGGCTTGACTATCATCTTGGGGAACCATCTCAGACACCTTCTCGACCTATCAACTTGCTTTCCCGTAGGGCCGTAAAGGAAGTCCATCCAGTCATGTCACAGGCTGCTGCAGTACACGACTGCCCTCAAGAGTAGCTTCCGGTAATCGGCCAAGTTCCTGGTTTCATAACCTGTTCATATCAGCAGCATCGATTCCACCACACATAGCACTACGGCATTGTGGCACCATGACTACAAGCCCCCAAGAAAATGCTTGCGCGCAGCGTCTTCCTGTCCAGGAAAGGAAAAACGTAGTGGAAACTCGTCCCCGCAAGAAGTACCGCTGCCAAGTCTACAAGTCTTCAGCCCGCCAGTTCCCCACAACTGATAGGAAACAAGCGTGCCTCAGTCAGGTTTGGCCAGTCGGTGAGCCGCTCAATCTGGCCCTTCACAGGGGCTCCGCTAAGATGCAGGATCTGCAGCTGGCCGAGGGCTTTGAGTTGCTGCAGCTCGCCGGCAACTTGGGTGTTAGAGAGGTACAATTCCTGCAGCTGGGTGAGGGGAGCCAGTGGCTTTAGGTCGCCGGCAACTTGGGTGTCGGAGAGGTCCAGGCGCTGCAGCTGGGTGAGGGGAGCCAGTGGCTTTAGGTCGCCGGCAACTTGGGTGTTTAAGAGGCGCAGCTCCTGCAGCCGGGTGAGGGGAGCCAGTGGCTGGAGGTCGCCGGCAACTTGGGTGTTAGCGAGGGACAGGACCTGCAGCTGGGTGAGGGGAGCCAGTGGCTGGAGGTCGCCGGCAACTTGGGTGTTAGCGAGGTACAGGACCTGCAGCTGGGTGAGGGGAGCCAGTGGCTGGAGGTGGCCGGCAACTTGGGTGTTGGAGAGGTACAGGAACTGCAGATGGGTGAGGGGAGCCAGTGGCTGGAGGTCGCCGGCAACTTGGGTGTTGGAGAGGCCCAGGTCCTGCAGCTGGGTGAGGGGAGCCAGTGGCTTTAGGTCGCCGGCAACTTGGGTGTTGGAGAGGCCCAGGACCTGCAGCTGGGTGAGGGGAGCCAGTGGCTGGAGGTCGCCGGCAACTTGGGTGTTGGAGAGGAACAGCTTCTGCAGCTGGGTGAGGGGAGCCAGTGGCTGGAGGTTGCCGGCAACTTGGGTGTTTAAGAGACGCAGGTCCTGCAGCTGGGTGAGGGGAGCCAGTGGCTGGAGGTCGCCGGCAACTTGGGTGTTAGAGAGGTACAATTCCTGCAGCTGGGTGAGGGGAGCCAGTGGCTGGAGGTTGCCCACAACTTGGGTGTTTAAGAGGCGCAGGTGCTGCAGCTGGGTGAGGGGAGCCAGTGGCTGGAGGTCGCCGGCAACTTGGGTGTTATCGAGGTACAGAGCCTGCAGCTGGGTGAGGGGAGCCAGTGGCTGGAGGTCGCCGGCAACTTGGGTGTTGTCGAGGTCCAGGTGCATCAAATGCGTCAGGTGTTGCAAGGCGCTGGTGTTTCCGTGGACTTTGGTATTCGAAAGGTCCAGAAAGTCCAGCTCCCGCGGAAGGACTCCCACGCGGCCCGAGAGCGGCCGCCCTGACAAGTCGATCTCCACCACGCACTCCTGGGTTACACATTTCTGCTGCTGCTTCTACACAGAATAAGAAAGAAGCAAACTTGAAGCTGTCTCAAAAATAGCCCCAGGGTCTCTCAAGTAAGAAAGAAGCAAACTTGAATCTAAGTTTAAGCTGTCTCAAAACAAAGCCCCAGGGTCTCTCGAATCGCAGCCGGCTCCAGGCCAGTAGCAGGGATCACCTGCGAGCTCTTCAGCCGGGATCCCGAGCTCCAGGAAGGCAGACCTTAAGGCCTCCGGCCCGGTACCTTGCGCATCCAAAGGGTTTAGGGTTTTGGGGTTTATGGGGTTTAGGTTTTTGTTAAAGCCCCTTTTCCGTCCGCATGGTTTAGGGTTTAGGGTTAAGGGTCCAAAACAGGCACCCACAATCCTCCGAACAATCCGCCCCGCCCTCCCAACAAAAAAACATATTGCGACATGGCGATCCAAGAGTTGCCAGGCCACACTCAGACGTGGCAGCGCCGAGCCTCGTGGCGCTGCCGGCTGCGACCTGCACTCACTCCATCATCGGAATCACGGGAATGGATCTGGGATTTACAAACTTCTACGCACATCATGACTGAATGAGGAGGTTGGAGGGTGCGTACAAGGGCATGTCTCCACGCACAAGGAAAAAGAAGGAGCTCAGTGGAGCCTTTGCTTGGCCCTCACTTCAGCACGACTCGAGATCCTTGCAATCTACGGTTCTGTAAGCTCTTGGGTTCAGCAACGAAGTTTGGGGGGCGTCCCTGCGAACCCCAAAGTCCCAAAACCTTGGCTCAAACCTTCCATGCAAAACATCTCTAAATATTTCTAAGCCCTGCACCCTCCAAAAGCTTGCGTGGTGCAGGGTGTATTACCAGCAGCTTGAAAACTCAGACAGATGCTTACTTCTGGATGTCTCGAGATGAACCTGTAATCACGTATCTTTTCCAGAGGCTTACGCACGCACACGCTACAAAGGTCGCAGACCGGCTCGGGCCTCCTCGATGTGCGTGCGGCTTGAAGGCTTGGCGTCGGCCCTGTGGACCTCACACAGGAGCTACGGTGCTCCGCGCATTCTTTCAACCTCACCTTCTACCTAAGCTGGTCAGGGAAACACCTGCAGATGCCGCTCGGCGCGCTCCGCGGCAAGCAGGCTTGCCAGCACGCAGAAGGCCAAGACCGTCAAGGCCCCCATTGGCGACAGATATGGATACAGCATTGCCCCGGTTGCATGCAAAAGCCGCTGACTAACCTGCAGGATGAAGGAAAAGATACCGAAGTTGCACCTCCTTTCCTCATGTCTGCTGCGATGGGGCTTCGCAAGGCACAGACTACGTCATGCTGAGAGCTCCCCAGTCCGGAGCTGGCGGCGTGAGCCCAAAAGTGATGCGGGAACACGTGGCTTCTCAGTCCCAAGCGCATGGGATTCACATCTTGCACAGGATTGCTGATAAGGTATATATTGACACAAACGGCTCTTCCTACCCATTTGGACATATACACGGAGTATGAGGCAGCGGGCATGCCGCCAAACTCACTTGTGTGCTTGTCATGTGCTGAGCACAATCCCAAAAAAAGCAAACAAATGCCCTGCCTTTCTCACAAGTTATAACCCCACCCACCTAATAACATACATCCTCGCCCGACCAGCTCACAAAATCCCAGTATGGTACATTTCACCACGATGGGCAACATAAATCAAAAATCATTTTGAGGGAGCTTGTAGCAGCGTACTATCCACCAGAAGTAAAGCAACAACTGGGAAGCTCCGATTTGCTTTCTCTCCGCCAACTGCAGCTATTCGCGCGATGCCCTCTGTGAGAAGAGGGAAGATCCTCCTGGCCAACACATCTGGGGTCTTGTTTCTCAAATGGCCTGTCTAGGGTTTAGGGTTTAGGGGTTTGGGGTTTGGGGTTTAGAGTGTAGGGTTTGCTCCATGTTTGCCGTTGTCACTGAAACCCTGCACCCTGAACGCTCAACGGCACGGCACCCGAGACTTGCCAGATGGCTACACACGGCTTACGGCTCCCTAAACCCTAAACCCTAAACCCCTAAACCCTAAACCCTAAACCCTTAAGGCTTTAGGAATTCGCAGTCGCCCAAGACGCCGAATCCCAAACCTTCGACCGGGCCTTGCTACTTTCCGAAATGACCTAAGGAAACCCACCAGACCACCACTATGAGCCACAAAGTCTTCAGCTCCAACCAAACCGTCTAGAGCACGAAAAGTTAGGGTTTAGGGTTTAGGGCTCAGGGTTTAGGGTTAAGGCTTTAGGGTTAAGGGTTTAGGGTTTAGGGTTAAGGGTTTAGGGTTAAGGGTTTAGGGTTTAGGGTTTAGCTCATAAAATCTTTGACACTGGCATGAGCAGCTCACGGATTCCAGAGCCTCAAACAAGCTGCTCCCCATTGGCCCTTGAGCTTTCTGCCCATAAAAGCAGGCCGGAAGTGTGGATGCACCCTCACACCCCTAAACCCTAAACCC